TAAAATGTACTATTCCCTTACACAAACATGAGGTCTTATCTCCCAAGTTGGCGGTTGGGCAGAGCTTGGTGGGCGAGGTATTGCTGATCTCTGTCTGGTCAACAGGGCTCCAGATGATCTCAGATTCTACTGCAGTCAGGTCCAGTTGGGGGAGGCAGAGTGTGAAACAACCACGTGCCATAGGTCGATGTGTCACATGTGGCTTGGGTCTCTTTTTCTTTCTTTGTTCTTAGGTCCCAAACTGGAGGCTGCACAGAGATGGGTGGAACTCTTGGGACAATGCACGTCTCTGCCTGGTTTCAAGCTCCAGCTGTTCTCTGGTCCTGCTGTGGTCAGGGGTGAATTGGGGGAGGTAGAGTGCGAGACTGCCGGGTGTTGCTGGTCAGTGCAGTGGTAAGGGTGGCTGGTGGCAGGGTGGCTTGGGGCAATGTGGAGTGCTTCAGTGTGGGAGGGGCCTGGGGCTCTGAGATGCGAATGCCGAGGGCCTCCGAGGGTGGGTGGTGGCAGCTTGACGTACGGCTGGGCACTTCAGCCAGGGAAGAGAACCACAGCTCCGAGGGACTGGTACCTAGGGCCTCCGTGGGATGGGGCTGGTGGCTTAAGGCAGGGGTGGGTGCTTCAGCCAGGAAGGGGGCCTGGAGCTCTGATGGGTGGGTGGCAATGGGCAGGCGCCAAGGCCCTCCACCCTCCTCGGTGGCTATGGGCCAGGTGAGATGCTTCAGTCAGGGATGGAGCTAGTTCCGAGGGACAGGCACCTAGGGCCTCTGTGGGCAGCAGCAGCTTGAGGTGGGGGTGGGCGTTTTAGCCAGGGAGACGGCCTGGAGTTCCAAGGGACAGTGCTGAGGGCCTCTGCAGGTGGTGGCAGCTTTGGGCCTGGTGGGGTGCTTCAGTCAGGGATGGAGCCCATAGCTTCAAAGGGCAGGCGCCTAGGGCCTCCGTGAGTGGCAGCATCTTGAGGTGGGGCTGGGCACTGTTCAGCCAGGGAGGGGGCTCAGAGCTCTGAGTGGTGGCGCTGAGGGCCTTCACCATCAGTGGCAGCTTTTGGCCCTGCGATGAGCTTCAGTCAGGGATGGCGCGTGTAGTTCCGAGGGACAGGCACCTAGGGCCTCTGTGGGCGCAGCAGCTTGAGGTGAGGGTGGGCATTTTAGCCAGGGAGAGGGCCCGGAGCTCCAAGGGGCAGCGCTGAGGGCCTCTGCAGGTGATGGCAGCTTTGGGCCTGGCAGGGTGCTTCAGTCAGGGATGGAGCCCATAGCTTCAAAGGGCAGGCGCCTAGGGCCTCCGTGAGTGGCAGCATCTTGAGGCGGGGCTGGGCACTGTTCAGCCAGGGAGGGGGCTCAGAGCTCTGAGTGGTGGCGCTGAGGGCCTTCACCATCAGTGGCAGCTTTTGGCCCTGCGATGTGCTTCAGTCAGGGATGGAGCGTGTAGCTCTGAGGGGCAGGCACCAAGGGCCTCTGCAGGCTGCGGCGGCTTGAGAGGGGGCTGGGTGCTTCAGCCAGGGAGAGGACCGGTAGCAGCTGGGTGCCGGGCACAGCAGTGTTGCCAGCGAGGGACTCCAGAACTCCCCAAGGCGCAGCAGCGGCTTGGCACTGGGTGAGGTGGTGTAACTAGCTAGGGAGCCGTGAGCTCCACGTGGCTCGGGGCCTGGGACCACCTGGGTTGGAACCGTGGTGGCAGCATGGGCCGCTGTAGCCAGGCGGTGCGTGGGACTGAGAGTCTGCAGGCCTTGGACCCGTGTGGTTGGCAGGGGTTGGGAGGCGGGGGAGGGAGAGCAAGTGTCTTTATGGGAACTCACTTTGGGAGAATCTCACAGTCCTACCTGTGCTATCACCATCTTACCGGATCCACCCTCCCCAGAATTTTTTTTCCAAATTTGAGAGAATTTTACAGGATTAATGTTCTTTGGAATGCACTTGATTAAATCTTGTATAATTCCTTCCCACATTGTACAACTGTACCAGCTTTGGTCTTTGCAGCCAACAACACGCAGTAAAATGATGGTATTCCCTTTATAATATTAAGTCATAAAACTAAAGTAGCTCCTCTCTGGGAGTATTTTTCCTCTCTCTCTCTCTCTCTCTCTCCCTGGTTATTAATTCTGTAAGGAAGCTATATGCTATGTTACGTTGTGCAATGAAAAGGCCTATGTGTCAAGGAACTGATATCTCAGACCAAAAGAAAGGGAGAACCTGAGGCCTTCCAGCATCCACATGAGAAACATGGAAGTTAATTTTTTAGGACTGACAAAAAACATGATAGAACTTGAAAAAGATCAACTCATAGTTCTGGGCTGATTGTTTGACTATGATTCCAGGAAACATTTCATTCCAGAACCATTCAGCTAAACTGCTCTCAGATTTACAAGAAACAGAAATTCAGTGATAATATTTGCTTGTTGTTTAAGGTGCTAAGTTTTGGGGCAGGTTAATACACAATAAATTACTAAAATAGCTGTCTTCATAAACATGGTCCAATCTCTTTAGCCACAGTGTAAACTACTTTACATTGTTTTTAAGCATAATATTCTTATAGCCCCCCTCTTTATTATGGAGTTTTGGGGTGTGTTACAACTCAAAATCACAATCATTTGCTGAGTAATATACTAATTGGATGTGAGTTGATTATCTTTTTTAATGTATGGTGCTATTATATGCTTCACTTTAATGAGAGACCATAAACCCTTCTTCTCTTTGCTAACTGGACCGAACAAATAATGGATCCATCCTCAATTAACCATATATAAAATCTGTATTTTAGATAACATAATTTTAACATTATTGGCAACTTTTTCTTTCTCTTTACATACATTTGACATAAATAAGAAGATACAGTCTAATATAAGAGCCATAATAATAAAAGTAATTAAGTGGAATCCATAACCTCAATACCAAAAGAAATAGGACATTACTTGGTAAGATTACAGTTCTGATGGGACTGAATCATATACAATTTTATACAATTTAGGTGAACCTCTCTAAGACTACAAAATTCCCCATACTAAATCAGTACAGGGATTTGGAAGAAAATGACCCAAGAGAAGAACTTAGCAAACTTCATGGTGAGTCCACCTATGGATCTCACCAATAGTGTTTAATGAGCTGCAAAGTTTCTCTCTACATAGAATTTTTTGTTTATTCTTCCCTAATTAATTTTATAATTTTAATATATATATGTATATATGTAAATTTCCAAACATATGCCCAACTTAACTTGATTTTAGGCAATTAGTGCTTAAAGTAATATTAAAATTTATAGTTTTTTGTTACTTGCTTTTTCTCTAACTCAAGATTATATTTCTAAATTTGACCTATGTTGCTATGTAATTTTGAATTATAACTGAGAATTATTTTAAAATATTACAATTCATAGAGATTGCCTGAAGCATATATTATAAATAATCTCTTTGTTTTAATTGCCTTTTACCTTGGAAAACAATGTTCTCATGTATTGAATCAAATGTAATGTTGTTCAGCCTGCAGTGACTTTATAAGAAACATTCATCTGTAATTCACATAATATTTATTTTAGGTATCTTCTGGAAGATGTGATCCACTTGTTACAGAGTGACCTGTCATAATAATGCACTGGAATTATTTTGATCAGCATTTAGAATTAGAAAATATTGCTTGGCTTCTAATAATGTGATCTATACACAATGGGCACTGTATCTCTTTTATCTAATTGTGTTTCTCTCTATTGGCTATCAGGCAGCTCAAAGCCCAAATTACAGTCTATTTTTAGCAATTAGGATTTTGTGGTATACATTTTGTGTATGAAAATCAGCTTGATTCCCCTTTATATATCTACTCATATGTACCTTTGCCCCAATCTTCTTATGTATCTTTTTATGTTGTATTTCTTTGTCTTTCAATTTATGTCTAAACTATATATGAACATTTAAAAAAGTTTTACAAATATTTTTATTATGATTTAATATATTTCCTGTTTTGATCAACCCTTAGATTTGTCTTTGTTAGACTAAATATCTATAATTTTAAAAATCTTGCTTTATATGTTTCATTTGCTATATGTAAAAAATTGTGTGGTACACATTGAATCTAAATACCAGAATTTTGTATCCTGTTGAAAATCATATAAAATATATTATTGATTGATCGCCTTCTGTTTACAGTACTCATAGGCTCCCTGAAATAGTCTTAGTTAAAATGTTGAGAAATATTTGTTTGGTTTTGTTTGTTTGTTTGTTTTGAGTTGGAGTCTCACTCTGTTACCCAGACTGGAGTGCAGTGGCCACTCCCAGCCACCGCAGCCTCAACCTGCTGGGCTCTGGCCATCCTTCCGCCTCAGCCTTCCAAGTAGCTGGAACTACAGGTGCGCTACCACACCTGGCTAATTTTTTGATTTATTGTAGAGATGAGGTCTCACCAAGTTGCCCAGGTGGGTCTCAAACCTGCGAGCTCAGGCAATCCACTCACCTCAGCCTCCCAAGGCACGGGATTACAGGCTGAGCCACCGAGCCCGGCTGAGAAAGATTTTTAAGTACATACTTTAAAAAGTCATATTTCAAGACTATACTTTTTGACAGCTGTGAAATAACAATGTAATTGAATCATTATTGTGAAATATGACTTCTTCTTACTTGTAGAAAGTGGATATTTTGCCAATTCTGTCATGCATACAACAGCTTTAGGGCATATAATGAGCCCTGATTAATTAAGTCCCAATACTCATCTTTTCAGATTCATTGCCATTTTATTTAAAAGTTAAGATAAGCAGGTAGCACATATAAAATAAAAGCAGATAGCTTGAAAAAAAATACAAGTACAATTTCTGTTATGACCACATGTTGGGAGATCCTATATATAGAAAAATGTACTGTAAAAATAAGTTACTTCATTCTAATAAACAATTGCACCTAGTTTGTTTTTTTTTTAATTCATTGGCAATTTTGGTAGACAGCAGAAATTGCATACAAATTGGCAACATTAGTCTCATGTGTTAATTGAAAAGTTTTCAATTAATCCAAATATCCTTTTTTTGGGGGGGATGAAATTTTTTATTATGAAGATATAGATCTAAGAGCAGAACAATAATTGTGTGCTAGCTTATATATATAATTTCTTGTAAAAATAATGATACACGACAAATGAGTAGAAAATGAAAATCTGAAAAGTTATCTGAAATCTGAAAATGTTAAGTAAATTTCCTTGCATCTTAGTTTTGATCACTTTTGCAGAATAATCAAGCATATCTGGGTGGAGACAGTATTTAATCATTCTATTTTTATTAGTAGTGTAGTGTGCCCTTCAGAGCTTGGCATAGTCTTTAAGGATCATCTGAAGTTTCTGACTCAGCATGATGTTGCCTCTGGCCTTCAGTTGGCCACTGAAGAATGCCTTCTGAGTGTCAAGTTTGCCCAGTACTATGTCCATGAAATCTTCATCTGAAAATATGATGGCTGTATCAGCAGAACCTTTCGCAGGGCCTTGGTATACTTTTCCAGAATCATTTTTCAGGTCAATAGTCCACTTAGCTGCAACATTTCCACGATTAGTGATATGCCACTCAAAGACAGCATTTACTTTCTTCACCACTTCATGCCCAACATCCTTAAGGCGGCGACCTATTTCCCCACCTTCAGAAAGGGTCTTAGCTGAAATATCAGATGTTCCCACAAGATCACATATGCATTTGAAATGATGATGTCTCCAGTTTCTTGAACCTTGATTTGAAAATGAATTATATTTCCTTCCTTCCACATCTCAGTTTGTAGAGTTTGTCCAGGATACACTGGTTTTGCAAAACGAACCTTAATTGCCTTGAATCTTGACACATCATTATCTGCAAACTACCATAAGACATGCCTGGCAGAAAATCCAAATGTACATAATCCATGTAATATTGGCTTGTCAAATGTAATATGGGCTTAGCAAAGTTAGGATCAATGTGTAAGGGATTCCAGTCTCCACTAAGGCGATACAAAGCAGCCTGATTAAGTGAGGTGGTATCTGTAAGTACAGCATCAGATCTATTAGGTATGGCTACAGCTACCTTGGCTTTGTCTGATGTCCGTTTTCCACCAAAGCCTCCAGAGCCAACAAGAAAGTTAGAGAACTGATTATAGCATATAAGCTCCTTCCCAGAATAATAGACATCCATAAGAATCACAACACCAGATCCTTTATCTAGGACATCAGCAACAACTGCTTCACATTTTAATTCTCCTGCTCTGGGAAGAGATTTATACAACTCCAAGTATTGCTTCTCATGAAGAACCTTTGCGAAGTTGATTGAAAGCCCAGGAATTTCTCCTAATCCTCCATTCATCATAGATTTTTGACCTGGGATAACTCCAAAGGTAGGCAAACAGGAGAAATCTGAACTTCCTTCATAAATAAATTTCAAATCTTTTGGATCCATAATTGATGCTCCCACTCCCAGGGCATACATAATAGCTTCCAGTTTCGTATAAGCAGAAGAAAATGGAGGGAGCTTATAGCCAATAGCTCCAGCAAATCCTGATGTTGCTGTAGTTGCTGCATGACTGGTGTGATTTGTTGAAATTCCTCCTTCTGAATCTATTTTACTTAGAACTTCAATTATACCGCCAGTGGATTCTTGGATACTTTGAGATTTGCTGGCATTCTCAAAGTCACAGATCTTCTTCCAGTTAACCTTTATTGCCTCAGGAGTCATTGGCTGATTCTTCTGTCTTACAATGTCTCCAAGGGTCCGATCCCAGCATAATTTTCCAATCCAGTCTGCTCCAACCTCAAACAAGCTACCATTTTCCTTACAACTCTCGTGGCAAAGCCAAAGGACGAGGGGTGCCACATATTCTGACTTCAGGGCTTCCACAAGATCTTGAGGTATAACAGTCTGAGTCATCCGTGATCCAGCACTAGGACAACAGTGTTACAATAAATGTTGCTTTTCTTTCCTTCAATTGCAAGAGAATTTGCAAGGTCTACAAGATCCAGTTTCGCAGCACTATAATTTGCCTGGCCAAAATTGCCATATATTCCTGAAGCTGATGAAGTCATAATTATCCTTCCAGATTTCTGCTTCTTCATGTGTTCCCATGCTGCTCGGATCACTTGTAATGAGCCTCGCAAATGAACTCGGTGGATTATATCTCAATCTTCATCACTTATTCTAGCAAAGGAACGGTCCCTCAGAATTCCAGCATTGTTGACCACAACATCTATTTTTCCAAAAGCATCCAGTGCTGTCTTCATAACCTTCTCTCCCTCTTCCACGGAATCAAAGTTGTCCACCGCTTTTCCACCTTTCCTTCTTATTTCTTCAACACCCTTATCAGCAACAAAGGAGCTTTTACCAACACCCTTGAAATCCCCTCCTAAATCATTCACAACAACTGATGCTCCTCTTTCTGAAAATGCCAGGGCATAGGCTTGGTTCAATTCTTCCCCGCGCGCCGGTGACCAGGACCACCCACCCGTCGAACCTCAGCGGCCAGGTCATGAGTCCAGCCTGCAGTGACACACACACACACACACACACACACACACACACACACACTCACACACACTCACACACACTCACACAAACACAAATACTCCAAATATCTTAATTTAGATATATAATTGTGAAATTCAGATAATTAACTTACATATCATTTACAGGAAAAAAGATTAGATAATTAATCCTTGTAGAGTAAAATGAACTTTAGAAACAAATCATGCAGCAATAAGTTTGGCCATGTTATCATGAAAGTAATGCAAATGCCATTGACTCATATTTTTTAATTTATTTGGTTTAGAAAGTAGAACATTAATTGCAGCAATTTTTATAGTTACATGAGTGCTTTTTAGAATTATAACACAATAAGAGATAGTGATTTTTGTCAGTAGAATTTATTTAATAGTTAAGCTTTTTTTTTCTTAAAAAAAAGCTTACTTTTGTGGGTGGATATGCCACTTCTATATATTTGTCTTGTTGTTCTTTAGAACATAAAAATAAATCCTCATTTTTAACCCCAGTAAGTAAGGAAAAATGCATAGCAGGCATCTATGGAGCATGAACAGAGGAGAGTAGACAGCTAGCTTGTAGAAATGATAGTTAAGCATGTGTATAATTTTACCAAGCTGAGAAAGATGGAAGTATATGGGAGCATTCAGGTTAGAGTGAATAATTAAATTAAATAAATGCTAATGTGACATAGCATAATACATTCATATTCTTCTGTATCAACAGATTATAAAGTGTGAGGTGTGGAATAGTGGAGGATGAAGTTGCCTGGAGAGATAAGTAGAGGTCCTGGAATATGATGTTTAAGTATGATATATATCCTGAGGCCAGAGATTACTCCAATTTAGAGATCCTCCAAGTTGCCATAGACCTTCAAGCAGATATTGGATTTTCTTTTTTTTTTTTTTTTTTTTTATTTGAGTTGGAGTCTCACTCTGTCACCCAGACTGGAGTGCAGTGGCCGCTTTACCTGACAACTTTCCACACAAATCCAATCTCAAGTAAATTTCTTAAAATGTATTAAAAACACCTAAATGTATTTATATGTATCAAACGATCATAATAAAACATAAAGTACTTAAAATATTGTTTCCTTTCCACTGTTCATATGATTGTTAACAAATTGTCACATTCTACATAGTAATATCTATACATTTAAAAGAAACCCCATAAATGATATATAACAATAGATATATTTCTTTTATGAAAAAAATTAAAAATAGATCATGAAAAAAACTGATTATCTGTATTGAACCATTTTAATGGACCAAGTATGATGAGATTGATATTGAAGATACTGAGGTGACAGGAGTTAATGAGTGCTAAAACAGTCAGTGTCACAAATTGTAGAAAGCGACATGCATTGGAAATATTCAATGATGGAAGGCAACTCCTCGTAAACTATCAGAATGGGAGGGACTGCCAAATTTTTTCTATCATTTTGCTTCTGCTATAAAGATTCCCAACAGCAAGCTTCAGGGAAAGTGTACAATGCTTTGGAATGAAAATTACTGCAAAATGGAAATTTGTTTCCATTCACACTGTTTATATCCTTGAAGATTTTTGTATCATTCTTTAATTGTTGCAGTCATAGAAATGTGCCCCTCAGATCTTTTTTCAATAGAAATTATTTCCAAAGAGTAGTTATATGACAGCCTCCAAGTGCTAATACCTTCAGGATCAACTACCACATTTATAACAGGAACATTCACTTTTAGGTTGCTTCTAGCCTATTAGTGAGCACAGCCAAAGAATTTACCAGAGGTAGCCATTTCTGACCCATATATAATACTGATAAGGGACAATCTCTGCTCAGAGTTTCCCTATAAACTCTCAGAGGCACTCTCAGAGCCTGAAGCTCTTTACATACAATCCTTCTGGCTTTCCTTCTTCATTCATAGATATCAGATCTGTACTGTGGTCTGAAAGAGGTACCCACCTGTTCCCGCCCTTTCTTTCCTTTATATTCACAAGTGTTGCTCTAAATAAATCTGTTGCCCTTTTAGATGTCTACTTCCTAAAGAAGTTGAATCATCAGAGTGAAATATATCAGTCAATAATAAAAAGAGGGCTTTTCATCATATGGGTGGTACATTTGCGAATAAGGTTCAGCATTATATTTGCATGACCCATAAATTTCTTCAAAGTAGATGGCACCTGTGTTTTGACCATATATCTTGGAGTTTTCATCTCCGTCTTCTTCAAGCCAGTGTTATATATCCTCCTATACATGTGCAGTAGTTAATTTATCAACATGAACTTTCAAGAACTCTTCAATGTTGCTTCATGACCACTTGAAAGCTAGCATCTCTCTTCAAGAACAATTTTCATTCTACCCTTGATTACCTTAATAAAGCCTTTCAAATAAACCACAAATTGCAGAATTAGTTGTGATGATGATGATGATGATGATGATGATGATGATGATGGTATTTCCTCCAGTGTTGATAGAGGAAAAAAGTTGCCATGCATTGTCAGTAATTTTTTTTTTTTTAAATTGGAGTCTCATTCTGTCACCTAGACTGGAGTGCAGAGGCATGCTCCCAGCCACAGTAGACTCAACCTGCTGGGCTCAGGCAATCCTCCCGCCTCAGCCTTCCAAGTAGCCGGAACTATAGGCGCGCACTACCAAGCCTGGCTAACTTTTGATTTATTGTAGAGACAAGGTCTAGCCAAGTTGGGTGGGTCTTGAACCCGCAGGCTCAGGCAATCCGCTCGCCTCAGCCTCCTGAAGTGCTGAGATTACAGGCTGATCCACCGAGTCCGGCCAATTTTAAAGTCTTTTAAATGTCAAATATTTCAAAAAATACTTTAGTAAAACTTCTTATTTGGCATTTACACTCTAGACCAGGTAATTGAGAATAATAAGCTTTGACTATTGTGATAACCTCATAAACTGTATACCTATGTATGGTTCATGGGTTACAAAAGCAATCTTAGAAAGGGAAGAAAATCATTAGATTTAAGGGATATGATCTACATCCTTGTTTGAGTGTTAAGAAATCAAAAATGTCTAAGGCTTTGTTTGCAAGATTTAGTTTTTGCTGATATATTACTTTTTTTAAAGGTAAGAGATATGACTGTACATAATTCTCAAAGACCTTAATTTGTCAAGAAGACTTTGAGAACCTCTAAAAAACTGCAAAATATTTTGGTTATTCCTTTAAGCAAACAGAGTTTTTCGGAATGATAGACTGGGTTGGGTTTTTTTTAATATAATATTTTTACCCCAAGGACCAGGGTCAGGAGAGTTAGCCTGCTACACAGCTTTGTAACCAGACATTGCTTCTTCCAAGAAATACAGGAGGATATCTGCTTTCAAATAACCCTGTATAATCTATAATAAACTTGTGTTTAGTAGTATAGTCTTTTTTATTTTTTTTAAATAGAAAAGAAATATAACAGTCTTCTCACAGAGGTAGTGAGGCTTTACTATTATTTTGAAGTCATAAGCATAGGGTAAATATTGATTATGTTGAACTTCGAAGGTTTGCCTTGAAAGGTTCTATTGTTATAAACTTCCCCTTTGCCACTGCCTTCACCTTTAACCTTTCAAACTTTTTATTATCTTCTTCTAAGTCTAAATGTGTCTCTGATTACTCTTTCTTTCCATCATTTTTTTCAATTATTTTGCATGTTTTCCAGCAGAGAATAGCATATCATGCAAATGGAAAACAAAAAGATAACATATTTGATCAGATGAAAAAGTTTTTAAATCAACAAAAGTTTCACAAAAAAAAAAAAAAAGATGATAAAGGGCTCAATCTAGCAAGAAGTAATAACTATCCTAAACGTATATATACCAAACAGAGGACTTACATAGCTACATAATAATAGTGGGAGACTTCAACACCCTACTAAAAGCTCTAAAGTGATTATTGAGGCAGAAAACTAACAAAGATATTATAGACTTAAATTTGACTCTTGACTAGATGTAAAAAATATCTACAGAAAACTTCACCTAACAATGACAAAATATACATTCTTCTCATCTGCACATGGGACATATTGTAATATTGATTACATACTCACCACAAATCAAGTCCTAATATAGTCCCCAAAAATCGAAATCATACCAAGCATCTCTGTGCACAGCAAAATAAAAATAGAAATCAACATCAAGAAGAAACTTTGAAACCATACAAATACATGGAAACTAACAACTTGAATGATTTGGGGCTAAAGAGTGAAATAAAAACAGAAGTAAAAATGTATATTAAAATCAAATGTAAATAAAGGCACAACATACCAAAATAACCAAGATACTGCAAAAGCAGTGCTAAAATAAAAAATAAAAAGATATATATGCATATATTGAAGTACATGCCCACAATAAGAAAATAGAAAAGTCTCAAATAAATAACCTAATATTGTATCTAAAAAAACTAGAAAAACAAGAAGCCAAAACTAACAAAATAAAATAAATGACTAAAATCAAATGAATAAATAAATTTGAACCAAAAAAATTATACAAAGGATTAACAAATCAAAAAGCTGTTCTTTGAAAGAATAAATAAGATTGATAAAATGCTGGTCAGATGAGAGAGAGAGAGAATATATAAATCAAAATAAATGCAGACAGAAACAAAAAACATGGCAATTGATTACCAATAAAATTCAAAAGATTATCAGAGTCTTAGAAACAACTGTATGCAAGCAGCTACAAAACATAGAGAAAGCATAAATTCATAGAAGCACACAACTTCCCAAGACTGAAACAGGAATAAATTAAAACCTTAAATATATCATCAACAAACCTTGAAATTGAATCACAATAAAAGACCCAACAACCAAAAATTCTTGGACCAAACAAATTTACAGTCAAATTCTGCCAGACATTCAAGAGTTGGTACCAATTCTACTGATACTATTTCAGTCAAGAGTGAGGGACTCGTTTCTAATTCATTCTACAAAGCCAATATTATTCTGATGCACAAATCTGGCAAAGACACAAGAAAGAAAGAAAACTACAGGTAATATTTCTGACTAATATG